TGGAGGTAAACCTTTCTAAGGAAAGTTGCTAGGCAAGACAAAGGTTATCATGAGAAGAGAGCATCTAAGGAGGAATTATATAGCTGTCCTCTGCTCCAGCCTACCTTGAGAGGCCATAAATCCTAGAGTTGCTTGTGTTGGAAGGGACTTCATGCTGAAAAGTATCTTTCAGGCCCCAGATCACAGGGAAAGGATCTCCTTTGCTGTCAGCTTCTTCCTGTAATTCAGAAAGGTGAGTATCAGCAATACCAGTCCGGGTAGAGGAGGAAGGTACTCCCATTGCTTCAGCAGAAATTCCTGTAGGAGGAGTCTTCCTCAGTGACCTATTCACTCCCACAGCTGGATGCCTCAGGCACAGCCTGGGAATGTGTTCTACCCTGAATGAAGAGAAACCACTGTGGATATTGACCAGAAGCATTTGCTCCCTTGTCTATTATCTGTGACTTTTGGGGTGCCAGTGATTGTAACAGGCCAGCTCCAGATCCATAACTCCCTCCCATCTACAGATGTGAAGAAGGTTCATACAAGAACTCTTAACTTGTGCCATTTCTGGCTGAACTGCACCATTAGGAGTCTTCTGAAGCCTGGAGAGCAGGTCATCTTAGTAACAAGAGTCTTCACTGTCTGCCTGTAGCTTCCTCTGAAATAAGCTCCGTTCCCCTGGTTCTTCTTTTAGTCAACCTGTGAGTGCCTAACATAGGCTTGTTGGATATTCCATATTACAAAGAATTTCTTGTAGTTCAGTCCAAAATCCCATGTCTCACATTAAGAACTTGTGAGATATTTCTTCTCCCTGCATTTTCTGTGTGTTCATAACATGGGTTGTTATTTTGTGGCCTCTGCTGCCTGCTCCCTGCCTACTTCTCTCTGCCTCTGGATCACACCAACAATGGTAGCAGCACCACTGAATCAAGGAGCCTGTGAGGATCTGAGGGAGGAATTCCCCTACATGAAGTCTGGGCATCCTACTAATATGTCTCCAAATTACTTCTAGCTGCTTTCAGCTGACAAGCTTTTGGTTCATTTCAAAAGCTCTTGCTATTATTCCTTGTTGCACTTAGCAGTTAAATTTCCTTCCATAGCTACCATTCCAGCTATTTTTTCGAGTTGACATTGCTTCCCAAGTTGTTTAATCAGAACATTTCATTAGTATACTGCAATTTTTATGCCAAACAATTACATTAAATTTGTTCTTTGAGGAATGCCACCAGTAAAATCCCTCCAGGCCAATGACTTCCTGTTGGTCATTGAAGCCAAGTAGCCAAGCTACTTCCATGCTTGGCTTACAGTCTTTCCCACGGACATCATTCCAAATGCTTTGCAATACAATCTGTGTGCTCTGTTGCATCCTAGAAGTTCTAAAGTTGTCTTACTTTATCTCATTTCATACCCTATTTACATTCAGTCACTTTGCCCCACCCTTTTTCAGGAATCTTCCCATGATGGCATGGTCTAGCTAAAGTTCTGATCATCCCTAAGTCTCAGAAGAGCAAAAGATATTTTTTGTTCCTGTTATTTTCTGTCTTCCAAAATAAAATAAGTTTGTGTGTGTCTGTTGAAACTATCATCAACCTTCACGACCAGGTTCTAATTCTAGCCCTAAATCGATGGGAGGTTTCTTATCTTCTAGCTTATTTTGTTATCTGTGTTTGCAAGCAGACAGCTCCAGTACTAGAAATGCCCTTGTTAAGTGTTCTGCTGGTAGTACAGAAATGCATGGCCACAAAGACAGTTTCATTTTGAAGAAACATTTAGAACTGCCTTGCTTAGGAACATGGCTCTTGGGGCAAATATCTACAGCAGCGATAAGGCTCTTTATCACTTAGTTCTTTCAGGAATTTTGATCAGAAATTTTGTCTCTGCAGGTTTTGAGATACTGTAGTTACTACTTATAGTATTGTGATCTTCTTCACTCGTGGTTTATCTGTCCTGAAATAGATCCCGAGCAGGGTTTTCACATTCCAAATATGTTTAGTACAATATTGTTCTATATATTTGCTGTTGTAGGAAGCAACAGGGAGTTTTTGAAGAGAGATTATGCATAGGAAAGGACATCCTTGCCTCAAAGGGAAAACATAATGCCACAAGCCTACTCTGAATGTTAAGCATCTGATCACTGTGTTTGCATTTCATTGATCACAAGGGTCATCAACAATCTTTCCCAGGATGATATTAACTCTAATTGAGCCCCCAATCCCAAAGCTGAGGTAGAAGCAGTCTTTCCATTGTTCTTTCAGATGTGCTCTCTCAAAAGCAGTGGTATCACAAAATCACAGACTGTATGCTGGAAATTACACTTGGAGGTCATCCAGTCCAATTCTCTGCTCAAAGCAGGGCTAACTCCAGAGTCAGAACAAGGTGCTAAGAATTATGTGGTGTCAAGGTGTCTCAGGATTATATGCTGTTTTGTAGCTAGTCCCTCAAGCTCAGATAAGTCAGTACAGAAGATCATCACCTCTGGGAGCACTGCAGAATCCGTACGTACTTGTCTGAAATGTAGGTGGAAGTATAATCGTGTGTTGTGATGCAAAGTTCATTAGACTGTACCAGGGACTGTGGTA